TGATATTGATAAAATAAGTTGAAATATCTTCTATAGCCATTAGTAGGTGAATGATTTTTAGAATTGCACTAAGGAAAAGTAAGCAGGCAGCAATTCATCTTAATAGGACACATCTATATGACTTTGACATGCAAAATATCCAACAAAAACAGTGACTTGCTAAAAGCAATTAAAGTAAATTCAGAACTTCATTTGGGTTTTTTTTTTAAAATGAGAATTTCATCTAGAGAAAATACAAGCTAAAAATCCCATTCCTCTTAAAGATTAAAGACATGATTTTGTATATTTGGATAGAAAGAGTTACAGAGGAATTCACATTATACAATATATACTTTTATATCATTTTACAGGAAATAAAATTTGTGTATTATTTGTAAAATGTTAAAACTTACTGAAATGCAAAAATATTAGAATAAATACCAATCTCCAGACAGGGGTTGACTCAGAGGACCTACGAACTGTCCCTCCCGGAGGTTGTGACAGAATCTGGACACCTCCACCTTTCCTCTGCCAGGCCCTTGGCACCTCCTGATTATTGTAGACTCAAGGCTGACTTTTCCCGGCCTCAACCTCGCTGTTATCCTGAAGTACTTTGGTGAGACAAAGGGGATGGTCTTGGTGGGTGTCAGTTATCGCACGAGATACTGGATCTGACCAGGGATCTGTCAGATGACATTCCTCAAGCAGTAGCCTAAGTGAGAGCAAGTGGGACAGACACAAGCCTGGGTTCAGGACCCTATTCTGCTGTTTCAAGTGCGCGAAGCCTGCAGACTGCTCTGGTCCTCCATTCTGCCACTGAGCATCTCATTGCCCTTCTGGGTGTTTATTTCTTCAATCAAAATAAGAACGAAGGAAAATAGATTCCTGGAACTAGATGTGCAAAAGAAATATCTGTGCAGCAGAGTTGTGGGGATGACATTGGATCTCAATCTCGGGCTTATTTACAATATCTATCCTTGACTGTGAGTCCTACAGGCCAGGTTCTGCATTTAAGGATATTTTCACAACTACAGAAGGAGGAACTATAATCTTTTCCTGAAGAGTTTCCACAGGACCCAGCAAGACTCCTTTCACCCAGGATGCAAGCCTTAGACGAGGCTTTCTCTCCAGGTGGGAGGCTCAGAGGGCTCCTGGGGTCAAGGGCTGCATGAGCACCCATGGGTGATGGCACCTGCTTGAGACTGCCCCTCCAGACACACCCTCCACCAAGTCAGCGTGTCTATGCTTCCTTCCTTCTCTGCACACTGTCCCCCATCCTGGGAATGACCTCTGTGACAATTTCCAATCCGCCTTAGGGATGCTGTTTGAAGCTGGAGTTAATAATAAAGTGGCTCAACACTGGAGGAAAGTGTTCCTCTCTCCTCTCTTGCTCCCTAGCCATCCATGCAGAAATTAGCTACAAGGATTTAGTCTTATTTCATATGAAGTCTTAACCCAAGGAGGGCTTCCCTGGTGTCTCAGATGGTAAAGAATCTGCGTGCAATCCAGGAGACCTGGGTTCAGTCCCTGGGATGGGAAGGTCCCCTGGAGAAGGAAATGGCTACCCACTCCAGTCTTCTTGCCTGGAAAATCCCATGGACAGCTGAACCTTGTGGGCAATAGTCCATAGGGTCACACAGAGTCAGACATGACTAAAGCTACTTAGCATGCACTAACCCAAGAGACACTTCCATGACTAAACCAACATCCTCTCAGCATCCTTCTGCACTGTGGAGAAACAGTGGGGACCATTTCTGTTCAGCTCACAGTCAGGCCCAGCAACTAGCACAACAGCAGACGATGGGCACTGATTCAGTATCCATTGGGGGTTATGAACGAGTCCTGTGAGCAGGACTGAGATGATGCATCTTCAAGGTGAGTGCAGTTTTCCCTTTTGTAGATACAGGGCTTTTGCTAACCAATACCTGAGTGTCTTGGAACTGAGCAGGACCCTCCCTATGGGTCCTTTCCAAGACAGCTCCATCTCCAAATTCTCTGCTTTATCTTCTCTCTGAAGTTCCTAGATAATGGTATCTGATGCACATTTCCTGAGTTGTTTTACAGATGCTAAAACCCCCATTGTTGACTCAATGGACATGAGTTTGAGCAAACTTTGGGAGATAGTGAAGGACAGGGAAACCTGGCAGTGCTGCAATCCATGTAACTGCAGAGTTGGAAATGACTTAGCAACTGAACAATAACAAATCCCCCACCAAATGGAAGAATTTAACTACTTGATGACCATGAGCACGTAACTCCCAGACTTACTGGATTGAACACGTTAATCCCTGTGACACCATTCTGTTACCCAATCATCAACCAGAGACTTGGCCACGAGCTGATCACACACTCTGAAACCCTCGTTCCTCACCTGCCCTTTAAAAATGCTTTGCTGAAATTCATCGAGGAGTTTGTGCTTTTTGAGCTTTTTGTTATTGTTGTTCAGTTTTGAGCAATAGTTGTTCTGAAATCATTGCTTGGCACTTGCAATAAACATTGAACTTTCCTTCAACACACACACATGCAAATAGAATAAAAATAATGTCATTTATACTCCTGACAGCTTTAGAGGGTTTTAACACCACATTCAAAATTCTGTCCCTTCACAAGTCTATGAAAATAATAGATTATCATGGTAACCAATGGTGATCAGAAAATATATTTGGTATTATTTTTTAGATAATTGTTGGCACAGTATGTGAATATGGTAAATGTTTTATATAAATTTGAAGTCTGTGTTTTACCATAGTTTACTTGTTGAATATTTATTAATAGAGAAGCTATAAAATATCCAACAATATGTATGGATTTTAATGTTTCCTTTTATGTATATTTGGAAGCTATGTTAAAGTGTATAATTCCTGAATTGGCTCTTTATAATTACAATTGTTTTTCTTAATATTTAGCAGTTACATTTTTTGTCTTGACATATAATCCTTTTTTGATAAGCATCAGTTCAGTTCAGTTCAGTCGCTCAGTCGTGTCCAACTTTTTATGACCCCATGAATCGCAGCACGCCAGGCCTCCCTGTCCATCACCAACTCCCGGAGTTTACTCAAACTCATGCCCATCGAGTCGGTGATGCCATCCAGCCATCTCATCCTCTGGCGTCTCCTTCTCCTCCTGCCCCCAATCCCTCCCAGCATCAGGATCTTTTATATCATCTTTTCATGCATCTTACCTTCAAAATTTCTGTACCTTTATATTTAACGTACATCTCCTATAAACAACATATAGTGGTTTTTTGAAAATTCACAATGAGAAAATACTAATCCATGACTTATAATGTGTGTTCCATAAAATAATTAGATTGAAATCTAACACAGTAACATTCTTTTATTTTACTGTGAAATTAGCATAAACAGTTAATATGAAGTTTAATAAAAACCCATAACCCTAAGGTGAAGATTCCAGTTCTGGGGAAGATAAATTAAACTCTTTGCAGCATTTCTCTTCCAGGGATTATAACTAAAACTTCTGGCCAAACGAAACACACCACACACACACACATGCAAAATGCCTAAAGTTTCTGAAAAGTAAATAATAGCAGGGAAATCAGGAAAGGAAACTTTGGAAGGAAAGTAAAAATTTTAATAAAGGTAAAAGTTTGAAGGAAGTTAATTTTCTTTAGTTTTATTTCTATTTTGCCTTCTTTTATCTCACAGCTGTGCCCTCAAAGGTGGACCAAATTCATAACTGGGTAGAGGTAACCTCCAAGAGAAGCCAGTCTTTCTGAATCATAAGCAAGGAGAAAAGGGGCCCATGAGTCAGACTGTGAAGAGAGAATCCATATTATCGTCATTATTTTTTCTCAGAGGTCTGCTGCAATCCCAGATTTGCACTGTCATTGCCATGGTGTGGGTGCAAGCACTTTAAAGAAAATCTGTACCCCTGTATTGAAGAATCAGAAAAGGGACCGTGATTGTAAGGAAAATATAAGGAAAGGGTCTTGTTACTGGGTGATTGATTTAATGGTTGGTTAAATTTCTCTCTCTCACTGTTTTGCCTTAAAGATAGCCTCATTTTGCCTTAAAGATAGTCCCAGAGTGAGGAACTCTGGAACAGTGCTAAATGCTAAAATTTATGGAGAGGCAGAATGGATTGTGGACAAAGTGAGTCAAGGAGAGTGGGATGGAGAAAGTAGCATAGACATACATGCACTACCATAGCTATAAAATAGATAGCTGGGGAGCAGTTGCCGTATAACACAGGGAGCCCAGCCTGGGGCTCTATGATGATCTAGAGCTGTGGGATGCAGGGAGGGGTGGGAGGCTCAAAAGGAAGGAGATATGTGTACCTATGTATATACATATATATGTATTTCCAGCCATAGCAACTGGTGAAAAAAATATCTCTTGAATGTAGAGAGCTTGGAGGAAATTCCAGAGATGAGGGCCCGGAAAAAGGAGGTCCCCTGGTCTGTGTGCAAGTGAACACAATATTAGGATCAGTTCCAAGCTACATGTGTGCCGAAGTGACCCAAAGAACTACAGCAAAGTCTCTGAGAAATGAATTGCAATAGTGATAGTGCTGAGTCCAAAATGGATCTTTGAGTGGAACATGGAGGGATACATTCAAATAGCACCCGCCAACACATTTAAAACTCAATTGCTGTTGGAATCACCACCACAGAAAGTCAGATGGCACTTGCATTCAGAACCCATCAGCTTGCCTGCCAGCCGAAATGAAACTAGTAACATCGCAGACTTTAACAGAACCCAGAGTCTCAAAACAACTATTCACAATGTCCCACTATGAGGCAACATGCATGTTTCACCTGTGTTTTCCTGCTGGGGGATGGGGCATAGGGTAGGCAGGAACTATAAGACCAGGACAGAAGGTGTGGGGAGAAGCTTATTTGAGGAACTCTGACATGAGCACTGTGGTGCTGGCTGCGAGAGTTCATGGACAGTGTTTTTAGTTGTGGCCTGAGGAGCAGAGAAGGGAACTCCTACAGTTCAGAAAATGTGGAAATCAACTCCTCTTTCTAATTTCTTTTCTTTTTCTCTATTGTCTTACAGCTCATCACAGAGATCCCTCATAGTCCATGGCACTAGCCATCAAAAGGAGCAGCAGGAGTCATCTTTCTGACACAGGGAAATATGACCCTCCATTTGGTTGAATTGTAGGAGCAAAAATCAAAATAGACAAAGTCACAAAAGGGCAAAAGTCCTTAGCTTGTCTTGAAAAGACAGAAAGCTCACCATGGTGACAAAGGTCAGGCTGATTAAAGTGAAAAATAAACCTCGAAAGCAAATGACCCCATGTATTAGGAAATGGGATAGAGACATTTTTCTATAAAAATTCTGTAATGAACTTAGGACACCATCTGAAAACTCCAGGTTAATGCAGTAATCACTTGCACTAAGTCAATATCTGTGTGAAGAGAGAGGCAGAATAAAGGGCATTCATTGGAGAAATAAGATTTGCATGCAAGGATGAGAGGAAAGAGAGTAAAAGTTGGTAAAAGCCTAAGGGTAAGTTGTAGTTCTAGGAGAAGCAGATGCCAAGGTAGGGTTACCTATGTGGGAGACTTACTGGAAGAAGTGAAGGTAAGGGATGAAATGGGAGGGATTAGGTGTGGGTAAGGAGAATTTTCAGGGCATAACGAAGTTGGATACCTGTAAGAGGAGAGAAGGAATGAAGGATATGCAGACCACACTTCATTTCTGAAAAATTCTCAACTAGCTGGTACTAGAGTAGAAAAAGGAGGAATTTTTCAACCCACACAACTGAAATCAACCTCAGGGTTATAACTGCAATTATCTCCCCTGCAAAATCCCTTTGAAGCTTTCCTCAACTGTCAGTGTAGCAGGTCTTGATGAGATGACCCAAAACATTATTATTCCTGAAGGCTCAGAGACCTTGGTGATTATACTTAGGTCATGGTGGTCTCTGGACATGAGGAGTACAGGATGGCCTGGTGATGGATATAACTAGACTGTCCACAGGACAATTAGTATATTTCCTGGCATGAGGGCTGCATCACGGGGCATTCTGACCTCTGAGGGAAAAGTGCAAACTTGCAGGGAGGGAAAGCACAAAGGTCTCCAGTCAGTCATGGGAACATAATGTAGGTTATCACAGCAATTATAATAACATAGGTCAAAATGATGAAGTCGTTCATTCCTACCACCATCCTTGGTTCCCAGACCCATGTAGTCTTCCTATTAGGGGCAAAACTCATGAAGACATGTCTGATTTTGTGCCTGCACTGTGTCTGAGGCTGACACACCAGCCTTGTAGAGTACTATCTACGATCCAGTCCTCTAGAAGTTCATTCTATCCATTTTGTGAGGCCAACTGAACCTAGATGGAGGAGGAGCCATGACTTTGACTTCATTTTTGTTTTTAAAATTTGTGGTTATGTAGAATTTGCTAATAGTCTTTTACACACATAGCCCATGTATCAAAGCAATAAAAAGAAAATTCTATAATCATAACATCTGGGGGCTTCCCTGGTAGCTCAGTGGCAAAGAATCTGCCTGCCAATGCAGTAACTCAATCCCTGATCTCGGAAGATCCCACATGCAGGGGAGCATCTAAGCCTGTGTACCACAACTATTGGGCTGTGCTCGAGAGTCTGGGGGCTGTGGCCGCTGAGGCCACGTGCCCCAGTGACTGAAGCCCGTGTGCCCCAGAGCCCTTGTTCCCCAGCAAGAAAAGCCACCAGACTGAGAAACCCAGGTACAACTATAGAGTGAGCCTCGCTCGCCACCACGAGGGAAAAATCTGTGCAGGAATGAAGACCCAGCACAGCCAAAAATAAACAAACAAGATTAAAAAAAAACTATAACATCTATAGACCAGACAAAGAACAAGGTACTTGGTCCATCTGTTAAACAAGCACATAATATATTATATAGAAAAAAAAATTTGTAAATGGAGTATTGCCTTTTCCACTGGATAACTCATGACACCTGTGAAATTAAGATTCTTAGTAAATCTTTATGAAAATGCTTTCTCTACCATAAGTCATTACATATATCAGCATCTGTAACACTCCTAATATATAATTTATCAATTATCATACACATGAATTTTAAAAGCATAGTTGGCTTTACAAAAGTTTAAGGAGGTTTATACTGGTTTCCTTTATTGATTCTACAAAGGGGTCAATTTCCTCTTTGTTTTATATTTCTAAAAAAGGCAGCAGAGAGATTTCCTAAGGAATATATGGGCTTCAATTTGAATGAAGGCTATTACAATAACAACAACTCCAACTGCAAACACTACATGGATATCTATGTTAAACACTAGCTATATTGATATCTACAACTAGTCCCTCACTGAGAGTATAAGTCTCCACATTCTAAAGAGAGACATTGAGAGGATAATGCCAGCAAAAGCACTACCTTAGTGATGTGTCCTCATTTTTGTCTGCTGGTGACATAGGCCACACCAGTATTCTTGCCTGGACAGAAGAGACTAGCAGGATAGTCCTTAGGGTAGCAAAGAGTCAGAAATGACTTTATCAAGTAAACAGCAGCAATAGATCTAGGCTTAATCTTGGAAATTCTTTATACCTTAAGTAAGGCATGTCTAAGGCCAGCCACACTCGAGTTCAGTCACTCAGTTATGTCTGACGCTTTGTGACCCCATGGACTGCAGCATGCCAAGCCTCCCTGTCCATCACCAACTCCCAGAGCTTGCTCAAACTCATATCCATCAAGTCGTTGATGTTATCAAACCATCTCATCTTCTGTCATCCCCTTCTCCTCCTGCCTTCAATCTTTCCCAACATCAGGGTCTTATCCAATGAGTTAGTTCTTTACATCAGGTAGCCAAAGTATTAGAGATTAGGCATCAGTCTTTCCAATGAATAATCAGGGTTGATTTCTTTTATGATTGACTGGTTTGATCTCCTTGCAGTCCAAGGTACGCTCAAGAGTCTTCTCTAACCCCACAGTTCAAAAGCATCAATTCTTTGGTGCTCAGCTGTCTTTATAGTCCAACTCTCACATCCATACATGACTACTGGAAAAACCACAACTTTGACTAGAAGGACATTTGTTGGCAAAATAGCATCTCTGCCTTTTTAATATGCTTTCTAGTTTTGTCATAGCTTTTCTTCAAAGGAGCAAGTGTCTCATAATTTCATGGCTGCAGTCACCAACTGCAGTGATTTTGAAGCCCAAGGAAATAAAGTCTATCACTGTTTCCCCATCTATTTGACATGAAGTGATGGGACCAGATGCCATGACCTTCATTCTTTCAATGTTGAGTTTCAAACCAGCTCTTCCACTCTCCTCTTTTACTTTCATCAAGATATGACTGTTTCTCTGCAGCAGAAATTATTTCTGTCTTTATCTTTTTTTTTTTTTTTACTTTATATTGGAGCATAGTTGATTGACAATGTTGTGTGAGTTTCAGATTTACAGCAAAATGCTTCAGTTATACATATATATGTATCTAGTCTTTTCAAAATTATTTTCTCATTTAGGCTATTACAGAATAATAAGCAGAGTTCCCTGTGCTATACTGTAAGTCCATGCTGGTTATTTATTTTAAATATAGTAGTGTGTACAGGTTAATCCCAAACTCCTAATCATCTATCCCTTCCCTCATCCTTCTCCCATAATAACTATAAATTATTTCTTTAAGTCTTTGAGTCTGTTTCTATCTTGTAAATAAGTTTTTTTTTTTTAAAGATTCCACATATAAATAATGTCATACATATTTTTCTTTCTCGGGTCTGACTTACTTCACTTAATATGATAATCTCCAGTTCCATCCATGTTGCTTCAAATGGCATATTTCATTCTTTCTAATAGCTGAGTAATATCCCATTGCATATATGTATTTGAGTATCCTTCTTCAAACAAGTAAATTGAACACCTTACCTACAGTAGGGTAGCTTTAAGTCTTTTTTTCACTACTTACCTTCATTCTTGTTCATCCTTTCAAGCCCTTAGTAGATCTTATCAAGAAAAATTAGAGAATAATCAGAGAATCTCAAGACAGGTAAATGTTATTACTAAATAATGCATTGAATAATTGTATGTTATTATTGCTGGTAATTTTAATGCAAAATAAATAAATACAAATTTATAAAGGCTGAGAGAAAAGCAAAATCTGAATATATTAAAGAATATTAAATATGAAATAAAATTACGTACCAATAGGAAAGTTGCATATCTTATTTCTTTTGAGGATGAGTAAATTTTGATATGAGCTTCTCAGGTGGCTCAGTAGTAAAGAATCCACCTACCAATGTAGGAGACGTAGATTTGATCCCTAGGTCGGGAAGATCCCCTGGAGGAGGAAATGGCAACCCACTCCAGCATTCTTGCCTGGAAAATACCATGGACAGAGGAGCCTGTGCTATAGTCCATAGTGTGGCAAAGAGTCAGATATGACTGAGTGAGTGAAAGCACATGCATGCAGATTTTGATATCAAGCTCAGCATGGGGAGAAAGTACAAGAGACAAATGTCAGGCTAATCTCACATTTAAACAGAGATGGCAACATTTTAAATAACACATTAGCAAATCAAATAGAGCAGTTTTTAAAAAGTAAATAGTGACTAAGTCTGACATATCAGAATACAGAAACATTTTAATATCTATATGATAGTGAGGTTAATATTGGTATGTACAGGAAAAAATATTTGATAAAATTTTACCTTCGTTCACATATTTAAAGTGAAACAAATTTTAGCAATCTAAAATTGAAACACTGAAGGTTCCTTTCCTCACCAGTTTAAATTACCCCATTAGTTTTCAGTTGTTTCAATCACGTTTAGACTGTACCAGCACCTAGACTTTGTAGGCCCCTTCTTCCTAAGAAGGCTATGTCTTAGACGAGGAAGTTTCTATGCATTCCCCTTTGTAGAACTGTCAGAGTGAGCCCCTCTCCTGGAGTTTTCTCTGTGGTGCATCCTGATAGGATTGGCCTACACAAAACTCTTGTGGAATGACAATAGAGTGGTGATTACCCTGTTGCTTCTCTGCCTGAACATTTACCTCATAAAATGTATTTTATATTTAAACATTGGAGTTAGTATGTGTCAGTGGTCCTATTCATGGTACCATAACTAAGCATTTATAAAATAAAACAGGGAAAAAAAATATATGTCATTGCAAAAGCAATTCCAGGAATAAATCTACAAAAAGATATGTAAAATCTCTGAAGAAAATTACAAACTGTTTTGAA